CTCAATTATAGACAATTATTAATCACTAATTAATTAAACATGTCGATATTTAGGAAAATTAAAATCTTATGTTAGGAATAAGGCGTAGCCAGAGGGGTCAATAGTAGAAGGTTATGTTGGAGATGAGGTCTTATCTTTCTGTTCCAAATACTTTGACAACATCGAGACAACTTTCAATTGACCCCCACGTATTGACGATTGTCCACCAGGTCCTTCCAATTTGAGTAACTTCTTCCCTCCTGTTGGGAAACCAGTTGGAGCATTTGAATACTTCAAACTGACTCCTATTGAGAAGTTATAAGTACATAGACATGTCTTGACAAATTGTACTCAAGTTGAACTTTTTCTCCAGTAAGTTGTATACTGATTTTCTTTTTTATGTCTCAAATTTCTTCATCATTGCTTTCTCTAACAAATAACACTATAGAGACTTTAGAAGATATGTCAAGCGGCAACTATGGGTTCATTCACAAATATCTTTTGAGATTGACAAGAGAGTCCATAGAGAATTTCTGAGTTGGTTTACACGTCGAATATATAATGACAACAATCCCTGCATAGCTGAACTCAAAAGTCTTGCATATGGTCCATTTGATGATGCTAGGAGGTTTACTGCATATAATGTCAATGGGTTCAAGTTCCGTATAGTAGCATGTGATCAGGGTTGAAGTTTTTGGCATGTTTGGAATGAGGAGTTATGCTAGTACAAGTGACATTAACATGTGATTTTTTGAGGCATTCCTTACTATGAAAAGCTAATTGATATTGTTGAGTTAAATTATCAAAGACTTTTCACTGTTACTCTATTCAAGTGTTACTGGGCAAATACAACAACTTCACGCGGACTCACTATTGACGATTGGGCATGACATTTGTTAATTTCTCCTGACTCATTCATACAGGAGAATCTGAAGATCATGAGCCATACATTCTTACCTCTGAGGCACACTAGGTTTATTATGTCAAGGATGAGAAATATAAAGATTGGAGTATGGTGGTTCACATCAAGCCGCGAGATCTTTATGACATGGGTGATGATAGTGATGACATCATTTACGATAGTAACCCTTCCAACCAACGAATTTTAAAAATTTCTTCTCCAAAACAGATGACAATTTACAGTTGTTAGGTATTTCTATTTTACATATAATTTTGGTTCATTTTTGTTACATTAATAACAATATATGTTTAATTTAAATTTATGTGTTATAATTGTTTCTCATTATTTGACTTTATATATCTCCTTTCAGCAAGGTGATGAAGACTAAATTTTCAACAGCTCATTCCAAACCATTTTTTCAAAATTAGTAAGTTTTTTTTTAACAAAATTTTAATATTTGTAGTAGTTTTATAACTGCTACAAAATGCAAACAAACTACTACAAAAAAAACCACTACAACATGAAGTAAACCGCTAAAAAATAAATTAAACCGCTACAAATGTCACTGGCCCTCTATAAATACCCCCACTCTCTCTCTCTCCTCTCTCACATTTTTCATACCTCCTCCACCTCTCCTCCTCTCCTCTAATTTCCCTCATCTGAAAACATCTCCTCCTCTCCTCTGATATTCCTCCTCCCATTTTTAGATTGTAAGTTTTTTTAATTGTTCATTTACTTTTATTTTCTCATATTATTTATTTTTAATTTACTAATAATTTGTTTTCTTTTTTATGCAAGATTTATTTACATTTATTTTCTACTCTTTCTAATTTATTTCTTATATTCATAAATAAATTTCAGAATTTTTTTAATTTTTATATTATAAATTGTAGATCTTCTAATAATATTTATTTAATACTTAAAATATTAGCAAGATTTCCTTATATAACAGAAATTTTAATAAAATTTAATTAAATTTGATAACACATTTAATTTCAAAATATATTTACAAATCATATTTAATTTATTATATTTTATCTTCAAAATTTGATTATTTCTTTTTTTAATTTCAACTTAACATTTGTAATGGTTATAAAATCGCTACAAAAAATAAAATTAGATAATATTTCATATTTGCCGCGGTTTATAACTGTTGCAAAATCGTCCAGGTGGCGTCATTTTTTTTTTTTTTGAATTTTATCATTTCTGTGGTTATATAACAACTACAAAATTTGCCATCAAATTCAACTTTTGATTCCCGCTAGACGAAATTTTTTGTCAACACTTAGTAGTGGTTTTGTTAATCGCTACAAAATTTCAAATTCATTTTCTGCCTACCCACATGCATGTGTAGCAGTTGTTTGGCTGCTACAAAATATCTCAAAGTGATCACATTCATCACGTTATTAGAACTACTACAAAATAGTATAGCGGTTCACTATCATATGCCGCCTATAACCGCTACAAATACCTTTGCATCGGTGGTTTTGGTAACGGTTGTCAGAATGGTTACAAGTGAAACTTGTAGCGGTTGAAACGGCTACAAGTTACCTATTTTAACCACTACAAATTACTAAAACTTGTAGCGGTTAAAACTACTATAAATTACCTATTTTAACCGCTACAAATTATCCTTTTTTGTAGTGGTTAGTCAATAAGTAAGTTCATAGCTACTCTAGATTAAAGAAAAGAACTAGTTACACATAACCAAAATAAAACTCATAACAAAAAAAAAAAAAGAACTAGCAAAACAGCTGGTAATACAAAAAAAAAAAAAACCACTAAAATGATGTCCATGTGATCAAACCATTGCATATTAGGAGTGGTTTTACAATAACCGCTACAAATGCATAATTTAATAGTGGTTTATTGGATCCACTGCAAAATAGTTGCCATAAAACACTGTCTTTTTTTTTTTTTCGTAGTGAGGTAGCTTTTGGAGCTTTAAAGAGATCAGATTTTGGCTTCTCTTTACTTGATTTTTTTTTTTGCTCTTCATCTTGCTTTCACTTGCTCTTGTCTCATGTTTATGCTTATGTATATGTATGTTCTCATGGATTTTCTTAGCATATGTGGCTAAATACTTTTCTCTAATTATTTTGAAAACTTATATGGCTTAAGTATTCATTTTCCTTTTATATTTGGTTTTACTCTATGTTTAATGCTTCTTGTTGATTGGTCACTAATGAGATTGCTAGGTTCACTTGATTGAAGCTTGAGAAAACTAGGTTGGGTGTAGAACTAGTAATTATGTCAGAGCTTGAAATTTGTAAAAGATAGAGGTATAACCATTAACCTCACATAGTCATATAAGGATTGCAATAAAAGATGGGGTTCAATTGATTATCAAAGATATTAATAAAATAATTCAACTAAATTTCATCTATTTGGAGACTTAGAAGAGCACTTATATATAATTTAGTATAGTTGACTAGCATATTCAATCATTAAGAAATAAGCATAACCAAAGGTTTGGTTGAATAGTACTTTTGAAATACAAAGTATAAATAATTCTAGGTCTCTTTTTATCCTTGAAGTCAAAGAATCAATTGTTTTCATCACCTGATAGTTTTAAAACGGTTTTTCAGAATTCATACCACGGCTCATCAAATGTCAATTCCTAGTTTTAAAATAGTTTTCAAAATTCGTACCGCCCATAAAAAATTTGGTTGCTTCAACTTAATTAAATTCATTTGTTCTTTTGTTTCGTTAATATTTTTACACAAATTCTCATGAAAATTATCTTTTTTCATCATTGTGTTACTTGTCACAACTCATGCATTTGCGGTGCAAACAAATGTCATAAATTAAAACTTTCATATATATATATATATATATATATATATTCCACCTCCAATTTGAAATTCACATATTTGTACGTTCAAGAAACAAAAGGGTTCGCTTTCATAATCTTTTTCTTTCTAATAAACCACTACTTTCATAAACTTGCAAGTTTCACTCACTTTAATTTAAAAAATGATAAAACTACTGTATCAAATACCACTCTTTTTGTATTTATAAGGCATTTGTACTCCAAACTCACAAATTAAAAAACATTAAATTGATAATTTTTCATATCTACCCTTATTAAAGAAAGGGTATTAAAAATCTATTTTATATTTTCTCTCACCTATTTACTTTATTTTTATATCTGTATTTATTAAATCAACAGGAGTGAATTGTGAAAAAAGAAACTCATTAATTATACTATAAGTAACTTTTTGTATTATGTAAATTCATTTCTTTATTATTTTTTATTATCTAATAAAACTCATACATATTTTGGTTATAGAAACTGAAACTTATTTTTATTCAATCATAATCTAAATAACCTTTTTATCCAATCTAATTTTTACTCTAAATAACCTTTTTATCAATCTAATTTTTACAAACTAACTTTTATAAAATCCAATCCAAACACAATTCACATCACCGTTTAACTTTTACTATGGTTTTAAAAGTACTTTTACAATATACGAAATAAATATGTGAAGGAGTTTACCATAATTTGCGGAAAATTACTTTTCAGAAGCACGTATTTTTGGGTTATCCCAAACACTCCCTAATCTAACTTTTTTAAAAGTCAAATTGATAATAAATTACTTTTTCAATCTCTAATCCAAATGGAGTTTGAGAATATTCATGATGTATAAGGTTGATAGCCTCCAAAGAATATAATTGGAGAATACATTGATTTTCGTTATCTTCTTTTTGCTAGGGGTGAGGCCTTCAAATTTATAAATATGCAAACATTTATTATTATTATTTAAATGATTTCTTTTTCAAAAAAATAACCTTTTACGATAGTGATTAAACAATAAGCAATACATTTAGTTTATTCTAATTTAATGACAATATCAAATTGACAATCAAATAACCTTGTAATGAATTAAACACTGCATTGCCGAGAAATAACAAGCAAAATTAAAATTAAAATTAAACTTCGAATTAACATTATCAAGCTACATTATTCATGAATCATGAAGAGTGTGACTTATTCCATAGATTTTCACCAAGACATATAATGGTACTACTTCTAGTCTTAAATATAAGACCTAGTTTATATAACCTAGTTTGTAAACTAAGCCTTATATTTAAGATATAGATTCGATTACACACGCTAACCCTTCATTATTATGTCCGTGATAAAGGTTTCGACATTAGTTTCAGAAGAGCCACCATTTGCTGCTGAAAGCTTGCACTTACTTTGAAGCTCGTTGGCTCTCTTCCTCATTTCTTTTCCTTCTTCATCATCCAAATCCATAAACTTCTGCACCAACCCAGCAAACTCATCTCTACTCATCAATCTTTGAGGATCAAAATCTTTATTCACTCTCCACCCAGCCTTCCAATCTTCCACTATGATTTTGCTGTTAAAATGTTGATCCGCAGTTATCGGAAAAGTAAGGAAAGGGATGCCGGAAAACACACCTTCTTTAGTAGAATTCCAGCCACAATGAGACCAGAAACCACCTATAGCATCATGCTGTAAAATTCTCAATTGCTCATACCATTCTCTCACTAAACCTTTATCTCCACAAATCTCTTGTAGTGTACGAGTTTCTTTTGGTTTTACCCACGAAAACCGCTTAAGCGTAAACCAGCTGCGATTTCATCAATCTGAGCATTTGAAATTGAGAGGAAGCTTCCCTGTGAGATGTACAGCACAGAACAAGATGGTTGTTTGTCCAGCCATTGAAAGTAGGATTTTTCAGAGGTTGAAGAAGAAGAGAGGTTTGAATATGGTATTGTAAGGCCAATAGGGTAAATGGGCAAAGTGAACTCACATTTTGAGAAATGAATGGCTTCAGGTTCAAGCTCATGAGTTGTGGAGAATAATAGATATTGTGCTTTCGGAAGACGTGAAGAAGCTTTTAAGATCCATTGCAATATTCTACGGCTATGAAAGCTTCCGTCGATCATGGGAAACTCAACAAACATGTAGAGGAAATTCCAGGAATATAATCCACACGTTTATCACCCTCTTCTGTCGCAAGAATTCATGCAAAACCAAAGGAAAAAAAATACGATAGTAACAGAATTATGAATTCCGAATTTATTCGTTCTAGTAAAACAACAGAGTAAAAGAGAGGGGAAAAAAAGGTATATACTACTAACCTAGTGCATTGATGGGATAATGGCCATGCTGTTTTCCAAGAGACGATAGTGTTGAAATACGGAGTAAACCGACGCCGACATTGGCCAAAACAACGCGACAGGGATGTTCCTTCGGTTTCCAACTCCAACAGCCCAGAAGAGAAAAGTGTCCTATATGATGAATTGATGAGTGGAGGCGGCTGCTGAAGCCGACGGAGAAGCTCCTCAAACGGCGCTTCCATCTCTGTCATTTCGAAGCTGAGGAAGTCGGGGTAACATTGGGTATAGTGCCGAACCAGAGATTACGGGTCTGGGCTTTGGATCCGATTAAGCCGAGCCATTCTTCTGTAAGAACGACGGTGACTAGGATGTTTGGATCGTTAGAAAGAAGCAAGTTACAGGAGTTGAGGATGGGGTTGATGTGGTCTCGACCTGGGTAGAGCATAGCCACCACGTGGCAGCTCACTGTTGGTGGAACTTCCATGGAAAGTGAGAAATGTTGCAGAGGCGAGAAAGATTCAGCTCAGTGAAGAAGAAGAAGAGGAGGAAGCAGCAGCAGCTCAATATATGAGATGAACTGAGAAGTCAATTAATTTAAAGCTACAAGTTACGTACACTCACATAGCCCCAACAGGTCAGCAGATTGAAAGCTTACTAGTCACTAAATTAAATAAATTCGATGTAACTTGTAAAATTCAATGTGACTGTTTTTCATTTTGTTCAAATATAATTTCAATACTCTAGAGGTAAAATTTTCAACTAATAATTTTAAATTAAAAATTATTTTTTAAAAAGTTGACAATTAGAAGATTATTTTTATTTTAAGTTTTGGATGCATTAAAATAATTTTTTAAACAAACTTCACCAAAATTTAATTTTTTAAAAAGAATAAAAATTGAAAATAAAATTCAACCTGAACAGCATGTAAAGTTGATGAGTTCTTAGTACTCATCAATCCATCTAGTCTCGAAACTCATTCCGATTGTCAATTATGTTATCGCATGAGTTGTGGTTGGGGGATGGAGGACCTGTACCTAATTAATACTATTAATATTAGTAGTTAAAAATATTTTTTAGTCCTATTTACAAAATAGAGAAATAGTGTTTTATTGGTTCTATATATATAAAAACGTATACTCAAATTATTACATTTTTAATATGAATGTATTATTTTATTCTTAATTTATTCTTGTAGATATTGTTATTTTCTTAAAAAGTGTATATATATATTTTTTGCCAACATTGAAAAGTGTATATCTTAGATAAAAGTAACTGGCTAAAAAACTATTTTAGATAGAAATAAAGTTAAAAGGTTGTTAAATTAAAGTTAATAACATATAAGTTTTTTTTTTATTTGAATGAAATATGTTAGAAGTAAATTATAAATAAAATTACAATTTTAAATATTTTTGTGATTAACATAAAAATAAAAATTTATTTAGGGAAGGAGGGTAGGATCGGGCCATCGGGCAATGGCGGCTATGGTGCCAGCTCTAATGCCATTATATAATACTCCCTCTGATTTAAAATATAAACTAAATTTTATTTGAGGGGCTTAATTTTTTATAAGATAATATTTATTTTTGTCTAAATATTTAATGATTTTTTTTTAATTTTATCCCCATATATTCTCTTTACTCTTTGATTCATTTATTGTATCTTTTATTAATAAGAACATATTTGGCAACAACAAAAATAAATACATTACATATTTATTGTTTTAAATAGATTTTAACCAGTTTCTTGATAAATGTAAATAGATAAAGTTTAACTTATATTTTAAACCCGGTTAAGTAATCCAAATGATGTTCATAAGTAAACGTGGACGACATTTTAGTTTTGCTTAGAATTTGATGCTTCAACACGCCTTCGTTCAAGACTTCAACTTAAATGCACAATAATTAGTGGTTTAATAAAATATATTTAATGAATGGTCTGCAAAGTTGGGTACATTCATTAAAGTGTTAATGAGCATGTCTAGAAAATTTTCGATTAGGAATGCTAAACACCTATAAATTTTTGTTTAGTGCAAATTTGTTGCGGAGTTTTAAAACCGTAGCAATATTTTCCCTATTACTAAAAAATCAACGTTAGTTGTTAAAAAAGTACTCCCTCCGTTCCTTATTATAACAGATGAATAACCGAATTACGTTGATAAAAAAAACAGTTAAAATTAGTTAAGAACAATTAATATGTAAAAAGTATAACTTTTTTTTTCCAAAAATGCCCTCATTAATAAGGAGAGAGAGTATGAGAGAGAACAATAGTAAATTCTTAAAAGAAAGAGAAGTAGAAAGGAGAGAGAGTGTGAGTTGGAAACAATAAATATGGGTAAAATAGGAACAATAGTAAATTCTTAAAAGAAAGAGAAGTGGAAAGGAGAGAGAGTGTGAGTTGGAAACAATAAATATGGGTAAAATAGGAAATCAACACAAAAAAGTAGAGACAACTTTTAAGTGTCTCTTATATTTAGGAACATGCTATAAGCATCAAATGTCTCTTATAATAAATAACGAAGGGAGTAACATTTATTATTAGCATTTTTAATCTAAGGAGGTAATATTATTATGATTTTAAATTTTCAAGACAAAATTGTATCCAAAAAAATTCCAATGCCCAGCGCTCTTGAGCGAAAACTCCTGAGAAAAATTTACACCTTAATCCAACATTAAATTCTGCCAAACTTGTATTACCACTCTGATTCTTCATGCTTATCCTATCCGTGTTATAAATTTCAAATAATTAATTTACATATAATAAAAAATTAGTTAGAAACAATAAATAAGTAAGTTAGAAATATATTTTTGTTTTCAAATATATTTTTATAATAAATAAGAAAAAGAATAAAAAAATAAATGGGGAAAGGTGATGAGAGAGAATAAGTAATTAAAGTTAAAAAAGACACATTAAATGTTGAATGCTTTGCCCAATCACTATCAATGCTTCCCAAAAAACAATTACTCACCGCAGACGATCATTTTAAATAGAAAACTTTCAACACCCACAAATTCAAACAATCACTTTCAACACACATATAACAATCACACACAACTAAAACACTCAACACCAGACCAAATAACTTACTTTACGTCTTGCAATGTTCAAGCCATGGAGGAGAAACGAGAGAGCCTCGTTAAGCTAGCTAGAAAAGAGAGGAGAGGGTCACGTGGCCAAGGAGAAGAAGAGACGAGGAGAAAAGCAACAGAGAAGAGAGGAAGAGGGAGCATGCTAGGAAAGGGGAGAGCAGAAAAGCGAAGGAGAAGAAAAAAAGAGGGAGAATAGCTTGTGACAAAGGTGAAGAGCTCATAGACGAAGGAAAAGACATGAGAAAAGCGAAGGAGAAGTGAATGAAAAGGAGCTCGTGGTAAAGAAGAGAAGAGAATAGAAGGTGTTGCATGCTAGGGCAGTGTGGTCTAAATTTGATCGTAGAAGCTACGCAAATTTTTTTTTTTTTTAAAAAGTATTCATCTGTTACATAGAGTAATAGACAAGTATATAGCTATGTACTCGTCTATTACCATTTAACAGACAAATATAAAGGCCCTTTTTCTTCTGGTTCTCAAAAGAAACAAAAATGGGAAACAAAAACGAACCACTTTATAGTAGTGTAGGAGTGAGAATGTTGTGCAACCAGTGTGGGGATTGTTTGTTAAATGGTCAAAATTGGTTGACTTAATGGCCATAGCAGTTTTACACGATTTTAAAGATTTTATATGTATTTTTGCATCATTCTCTTAACTACATTTTTGCTCAATAGTCAATGTAAGTTGACTTAATGATGGAGACTTTTTTTGGCACTATTTTTAAAACTCTATGTGTACTTTTATACTAAAAAAAAACTTTAGCTGAGTACTTCATGGACAGATATATGCCTTAACTCATTTAGCTATGTCCATAGATTTACGCCTTAACTCATTTAGTTGTGTCTAGCTATTCTACACAAGTAAAACATAAGAAATGTTCAAAAAATATTTGGGAATGCTTCAGGATGTGATGGGAAAATTAAGGAAAAGAACGACAAAGGAAGTAGGGACTAAATTATAAGGTTTTTGGTTTTAACCAAGTGACACCCTAAGTTATAGGGTTAGACGGATTCCCTAATAAGTTTTTTTGACCAGGAATTCCCTAATAAGTTAGCATTTAACGAATAACGAGACTATTATATGAATAACAAAATTATGGGTTCAGAGAGGGAGTCTTCCCTTGATGATTTAAAATTAAAATCCTAGTAACTAGTGGGAATATGTGTGTTTGTGTGCATGCTTCGGGGAGTGAATTTTAGAGGTGCTCCTTAAAGTCAATTAAGTAAAGAAGAAGGAATTATGTTATATATATATTACTTTCAGTCCTAATTATAAGAGCCGGTTGACTAATTTGAAGAGATTAAGGAAGTAAGTTGAGTTAGTTATTTGTCCTAAATAAGTGTTGTCTTTCCTAAAGTATTCTTACTAATCAAGTGTTTGACTAGAACTATCATTATTAGAAGGGCTATTTTGGAAAAAAATGTATAAATATGAAAGACAAAGTGGATTGAGATCTTATATTTAAGATCAAAATAAAAGTCAAACAAGGTCTTATATTAAGGATCAGAGGTAGTATATATATATAGAGAGAGAGAGAGACATATACATATACATGTAGTACAAGAGAATAAAAAATCTCTCTTCTTTGTCCTACCAAGCATTCCTCCATTCCAGTGTTGAATAAAGTAATGCAGAGTTAGGTAGCGAGAGGATAACTTATTAATAAGGTTGAGCTTTCGATTAAGTGGCAAATCTTCCATGATGTCACCGACTCACTTCCTCTCATTTAGCTTATGTTTGAAGCCTTAATTAAGATATAGA